ACCACCATCACCTCCTACCATTACCACCATTACCATCACCACGATCATCACCATTACCATCACCATCACCACCATCACCATCACCATCGTCACCATCACCACCACCATTACCATCATCACCACCATCATGATCATCACTTCACCACCATCGTCACCATCACCACCATCATCACCATCATCATGTACTTTCTTCTCTCAGCCTCTGCTGTCATCATACCCTTTTCCCACCGTGTCTACTTGTTAGAATCCTCATCCTTCAGCTCAGATCACCTCCAAGCCAGAAAGGCCATTTCCCCTCCTCTTATAGGTTACCCATTCTCTGGAGCCCCCATTTTGCCTATACAATCGTGCAGGAGTGTGGTTTGGGTCACACATCACCTGGGATCTGATGGCATGTCTGGGCTGCAAAAAATGATGGCAATATTGCTATCCCACAGCACATGGGTTGTCCATCCCATGACCTCTCAGATTCTGCCTTTGACTGCCTATCTGTTTCCCTCTGTGATCTCCTCAGGGCCAGGGGAGGTCTGATCACTTCTGTCCTCCGACAACACCATGCAGCAGCCCTCAGGGAAAGGGCTGAGGCCTGTTTGCTTCTGAGCTAGAAAATGACCTGATGCAGACCAAGCATATGTGAGGCCCGGGGACCCTGGCCTAACACGGACAGAGGTGCAGGAGGCTGGGAGACAACTCTGGGGGAAACCACATCCGTCCCCATGACCCATGGGAGCCCATGTGCTTTCTGGTAGGGTGGGATGGGACAGTGTGGCCTCGGGCAGGTGGGATGAAGGCCTGAAAGGAGTAAAAGGAGGAGTCTGCCAAGCTGAGGAATCAGGCTCCAGGCTAATAAGGAAAGCCCTATGTGCAGGGCGTGGGCGTGTGGGCTGACCTCACCAGCACCATCACACCCGCCTTGCCCACTGCCCCCCAAGTGGAAGTGAACCCCCCCATTCCAACTGTGTGGACCCAGCAAGTGTCCCCACCCCCCACGAACAGAGCCAGAATACCAGGTCTGTATGTGCATGTGGTGGGGGTGGAGGTGAGGTGCCACCAGAATGTCTCAGGCAAGCAAGGGGCCCTCCACATTTATTAAGCACCAACTGTATGCCAGGCTATAGAGATGTAGGTAACTGCCAGTCTTAAGGAGCTCACAGTGAGCCTACCAAACCTAACACATCCTCCACGTTCCATCCAATGTCTCCTCCTCCAGGAAGCCTCCTGCTCACGTTCCAAAAGCCTCCCAGGCTGGAGGCAGCAGCCAGGAGGAGTCGCTGCACTCCCCAGGAGTGAAACTTAGCCCTGAGTCTCGCCAGACTTTGCAACTGTCTTCCCACTGTTAACCACTTCAGCGGTAGCCAACTGATGGCCAAGTGCAGACAGAGCATGTACAAGAGCGCATGTCAAGAAGGGGCTGACAGCAGGGAGGAGGTGACCGGGTGGGAGGGAGGTGAGGGGGCCCCTCCACAGGGCCCATGAGGAGCCCCTCCCCACCCCCGCGCCGACCTTCGTGGATGTGGCCAAAGACATGCAGCCGTGGCTGGACGCGCCTCTGCACCGTGTTGAGCAGCTCCACGCAGCCCACCCGCTGCATCTTCTTGGGGACCCAGTCCAGGAAGCCTGTGTGAGGAGAGGACAGCAGGGCAGTGACAGTGGCCAGACGGCTGGGCCCCCAGCCCTGCAGGCCCCATACCCCAGCTTTTGAGTCTCAGAGACACGGGGTCCAGGCCTCACAGCCCCGGGCGGACCCTGCCCCAGAGCCCCAGCAAGCTCTCCTGAGGCTGCCTGGCCCCCTGCCTTCAGGGAGGAAAGCCAAGGGCTCTGCCACACGCTGCCTAGGACCTGGCGGCCCCGCCCTTCCTCCTCTGCAGGGCCACCCGGAGAGCCTGGCTTACCAGAGTCCAGAGTGGGCCGGGCGCTGGGGGCCAAGTGAGCCCCCCCAGACCTGTGTTTGAAGCGGTCTCCAAGGTGTCATCCCCCCCATTGCAGAGACAGGCACACTGAGGCCTGAAAGGGACAGGGGAGGCCCAAGGGCACCCTAGGGGCTGGCAGCTGAGCAGAACCAGGAGCGAGATTTCCACGTCGGAAACTTTCTAAACAGATACCCCAAAATCATGAAAATGAACTCCATTCGCTGCAGCCTGGCTCACGGCTGGGTCGGGGTCTGCTCGCACCGCCAGCCTCCCGGAGCCGCCCCAGATGGCGGCGGCCCATTATTCGCACACGGCTGCGCAAACGAAGAGTAATCGAGGACTCCAAGCGAGCCGCCAGGGTTCGTCTCAGCCCCCCTTGGTTTGGGTCGGGGAGACAGGTTCCTGCACGCTAGGAAGGGGAAGGGGGAGCCTCTGAGTCCCCGAACTAGGCAGGCTGCCCCTGCCACTGCCTTAGTGATGAGAGAGGGAGGGAGACAGGGAGACAGAGAGACAGAGAGAGGGAGGGAGGGAAGGAGAGAAAGGTCCCACCAGGCTTGGCCATTCCACGCCCCTCTACCCCACAGCCTATAAACCCTGGAGGCAAGTACTGCCCAGGTTTACCCCTTGTCCAGGATTTCCCACCCTGGACCCCAAATGCTGCGGGAGTGATGGCAAGTTATGTGGAGGCAGCAGGAGGAGGAGGAGGCTGGGAGGGGCGGGGCTGCTGGGAGTTTGGACAGCATTCTAAGGCCTAGGGGAGTTATGAAGTGTTGTAGAGGGACGGCACGGCATAGCTGCTAATTCAGAGAACTCCATCCCCTGATCTGAGGAGAGTGGAGTGGAAGGGGCAAGACTCCGGGACCAGGGGACCAGTGAGGAGACCATGGCAATCATCAAAGGGACAGAAGACATTGGCCGGGACCCAGGTGGGGACAGCCGCAGTGCAGAGGAGAGGAAGGAGCTGGGATCCAGTTTGGAGGTGGAATCGGAGGGATGTGCAGATGGACAGGAAGTGTGGGTGAGGAAAGGGGGAGGGGAGGCCCGATAAAGCCCCCGATGGGACAGCCAGTGGGGCCCAGAAAGAGACCAAGTGAGCGGTGACATCAGCTTGGACCAGGGAGGGGGCAGTGGAGCCTGGGACAAGACCTATTGAGGATGGAACCCATAGGCCCTGGAGACTGTTGGAATGGGTGGGGGTGCGGTTCCCCAGGTGTCTGACAGGTGAGAGCATACAGGACGAAGCCGAGAGTGACCTTGAAGGTATTCGGTCCCCAGGATGCAGGTCAAGGGCCCAGCCCTGCCTCTCCACATCCCTGAACTCCAGTACCCACACGTGTAAACTAGGCAGCTGATGCTGACCTCCCTGGGGGGGGGCTGCGAGGAGTCCACGAGGTAACACGCTGAACCCCCGGCACACAGTAGGGGAAATGAGGGGGCATGGAGGGAACTATCCCCAGTGCCACAGCAAGTCAGATTCAGAACAGAGCTCGTCAAGGCTGATCTCCGTGCTCAGGTGGGGCCAGACGCTGCCTCTTAGCACCCACACCCCCGGCAGCCGCCCCCAACGCCAGCAGGCCGGCTGGGGGCCGGGCCAGCCAAGGCGGGGGGCAGCTGACTCTTACCCAGTGGCGGTCCGTGGGTTATCAGGATGTCTACGCCTTCAGGGATGAGGTTCCATTTCTCTAGCAGTGCTTGGCCTCGTGGGAGGTTAAAGCCCCAGCCATAAAACCACGGCTGCCTATGGAAGAAGAGCGGGCAGTTCAGAGAGAGCACGGGACCGTCACAGGTAGGGGAAACCGCCGTGGCGCCAAATGGTCTCCAGGGCAGGCTTGATCCCTAGAAACTCAGTGTAAAGGTGGGGATGGCCTGGACTTAGCCAGAATCCTGACCCACTCGCAGGCTGTGGGATGTCTCTGGCCTCCTCTTCTCTTTCCCCCTTCCTTCAACACAGGTTCTGTTTTTCTAGGATGAATGAATATTACTTCTGTAAACTTTTAAAAGGAACATTTAAAAAGAATCAGCGTCAGCCAAAGACCTCTAATTCTCCAAGCTCTTCTAAGGAAATTCAGAGAAGAACATGTCCCCCGATCCCTCACCAGGAAAACACTCTCCGCCTTCCTGCCCAAGTTGGGGCAGGTGGAGACCCAGTCCAGAGAGAATGGCTTCCAAGGGGAGGATGCTGATTCCTGCTTTCCCTTGAAGCTTCCAGCCGGGCTGAGTCCATCCCCAGCTCTAAGGGCAGGACCAGAGGGACCCAGACCAATTAATGGAATCTCAACTCAGACCTAGACTGAACGATGCCAATGATTCCCTTGCATTGGCTCAGTGGTGAACATGAAGCCTAGATCCTTCCCATTGGTGGGAATCCCAGATATTTCTTCTTTCAATGACAAGAGAGGATGTTTTCACGCCTGCATATCAACCAGTGAGCTTCTTGCCTTGGAAACTGTTAGCAGCTAGTAAGCTGTCCCAAAGGGCAATGGCTGGGCCGCATGGCCCAAGGGAGCCCGCTGGATCAAAACTGTACCAGTCACCCACCAATACTTCTGCACTTCTCAGTTATATGGGCAACATAAAGTCATTTGATTGGGCTTTCATTTCTTTTTTTTTTAAGATTTTATTTATTTATTTGACAGAGAAAAATCACAAGTAGGCAGAGAGGTGGGCAGAGAGAGAGAGAGGAGGAAGAGACTCGCTGCCAAGCAGAGAGCCCGATGTGGGACTCGATCCCAGGACCCTGAGATCATGACCTGAGCCAAAGGCAGAGGCTTAACCCACTGAGCCACCCAGGCGCCCTGGGCTTCCATTTCTAACAAAAACATCCCTACTATGAAGTTCTCTTGGGCCTAAGTCATTATAAGATACCACATTAACACAGCCTGTTACGATTTACAAAGTCACCATCATCACCACCACCATCACTATCACCATCATCTTCATTACCACTGTCACCACCATCACCATCACCACCATCATCATCACCA